CCGGGCTGGGCTCGCTTGGGACGGCGGCCGCGGGGTCGGGAAGAGGGGTCGGGGCCCCCCACCCCAGCGCAGCCTGGGCCTGCGCCCCAGATCTGGCCGGCTCGCTCTGGCCTCTGGTCTGTTTCCAGGAGGTGCGGTCAGATCCCGCTTGTAGTGGGGCAGCCTGGCCTTGGGGTTGGACTGTGGTAAGACAAGGCGGCGCCCCCAGTGCACTGGATTTCTGCTCCCTGGGCCTGCCCCGGGGGCCCTTCCTCCCCCGGAGTGCGCCCGCCATGCCGCCCCGCCCGCGGGCCCCTGCACAAAACCTTCGTGGTTTCCCACCCCAGGAGCTGGCCAGGACCGCATGACCTCTCACGGTGGTAGCCGCTGTCTGAGTGACCTCCGTTTCCCTGCCGAGGGGCCGACCCCGTGCAGAGCCCCGCCAGCCTTGTGACCCGAAGCGCCGGCCTCCCCTGGTGCTCCAGAGTGGGTGCTGGCGTCTTGGGTGACCTGCTCCATGGGGAGCTGCTGGGCAGGGAGGGGCTTGGATGCCCCGGTCCCCCGTGCAGTCGCTGGGCCTGGCCCGGGGGCGGTGTGGCGAGGCAGGCCGGGGCTGCCGGCGTCGCCGACTGGCGTGGAGGGCTTCTGCGTGAGAGTCCCAGGCCCAAACCTAAGCTGGCAGTCGGAGCGGGCGGCTGGCCAGCAGGTCACCGGCTGGCCAGCAGGTCACCGGCTTGCGAAGGTTTCGTGTCCGTGGGCCCTCAGCCCCCGTTTGCCTTTGTTAGACCTGAGCCCCGAGCGCCGCGCGCAGTAGCCAGGCACTCTGATGCCCAGGGAACTGGCACAGCTGTAACTGTCTCGTGCGCTGCTTCTGCAGGTCCTCCCCTCGCCTCCTGTGCACAGCCCCCAAGCAGAAGAACGGCCAGAACTTGGAGGAGGACGTGGGCCGCCATGACCAGAAGGCAGACTCGCCCTCCGCGGAGAAGCTGCTCCTGGAGGAGAAGGTCAAGTTGGAGGAGCAGCTGAAGGAGACCATGGTGAGACGCGCGGGTCCCCCGAGCGAGGCTCCCTGACGGGCCTGGCCGGCGCGGCAGCTCACTGCTGGGTGCGGGGCGCCCACGTCTCCTGCGGCTGGCCGAGCCAGGCCTCAGGGCAGGCCTGCAACAGGACAAGGTCGGGGCAGGTGTGCTTGTGGGGACTCTCGAGTGACGGGGTTCAGGAGTGGGTGAGCACCCGGCCTCACACGCTGGGGCCCCCCGATCTCTGTGGCTCTGGGAGTGGCCCTGGACGGGCTTACCTCATTCCCTGGATGCTGCACCCGGTGCCCGGCGACGGGGGTTTGGGCTCGGAGGTGGCAGACAGACGGAGACCCCCCAGCTTTTCAGTGCACCTTAGAGAACCCCGTGGGGCACAGCACAGGACGTGCTGAGGAGCAGGCGCCGCCAGGACTCCGTGCGCAGCTCGGCGACGGTTGGGCCTGGGCGGTGCGGTGGCCTCGCTCTGGGGGTGTCCGTGGGGCTCAATGGCCACCTGGTTCTCGGCCTTCCTCGGCGGTGGCCCGGCGCTTGGCCCCCTCCGGGCCTCCTTAGCGCTGCTGAGGACGCGCCCGGCCCGAGAGGCCCGTGTTTCGCCCTGTGCCTCCCCCGGCCTTCTGCGGGCTCCTTTTCGGCCGAGCCCGCCGCCCTCAGGCCGTCACAGCGCCCTGCTGTGTTCTGGGGGGAGCCCGTTCTGTCAGGCCTGCTGTCCTGTGAGCGTGGCCCGAGTGTCACTCACGTCACCTCCCCTTTCTCCTCAGGAAAAGTACAAGCGCGCTCTGGCGGACACCGAGAACCTGCGGCAGAGAAGCCAGAAGCTGGTGGAAGAGGCCAAGTTATATGGTAGCTGTGGGCACCGGCCCGGGAGGGTGGCAGGCGGGGCGGTGCCCAGGCAGGGGCCTCCGGCTTCGGCCTGGGCGGGCGGGCAGGAGCGGAAGGGACAGAGGCGGCCACGGGGACGTGGCGAGATGCATCGGGCTGCTGAGCAGGGCCCGGGTCTCTGCTCTCCACCTGCAGGCCTGGGCGCCGGTCAGGCCACCTCCTGCTTCCTCCCCAGGCCGCGCGGCCACAGTGCCCGGAGCCTGCGGTGCTCGCAGTCGTTAGGGTCCTTCCCTCTCTGCGGTGGATCCTTGAGGCTGTGGGCCCGTTCTCACAGGGGACAGGCAGCGGTGCCGGCCTGGCACCGGCACCCCCCCGCCCCCCACAAACCTGCAGGCGCCCAACTGTCAGGCTCCCAGGAAGCAGCTCGGCCTGGTGAGAGGTTGCTTGTGTCCTGCCTTGGTCTGCCTTGAGTGTCTGGCTCTTTGGGGTGCAGCCAGGTCACATCTGCTCCCAGCGACTTGCCTGTGAGGGGTCTGAGCGGCACCACCGGCCGCCCAGCCCAGCCTCGCCTCCCTCCTGAGGTTGCCTGGCCGCTGGGAGCTTGGCCTTCCCCGCCGGTGCTGCTTCTTCCCGACCTTCGTGAGCGATGCTGGCCTGTGCCCTTGGGCCTCCTTCCCTCTGCTCCCGTCCAGCTCCTGCGTCCGCTCTGCAGCCCCCCGCCCCCCACCACCACAACCTGCTCCCCTGGGGGGCTTTGCAGCACCCAGTCTCCCAGCTCCTTCCTCAAGGAAGCTCCCGAGCCGGCCCTGGGCTCTCCATGCCTGCTTGGAGAAGAACGGTCAACGCCGTGGCAGTCACGTCCCCGGCGTTGTGCCTCTGACAGGCTGGCGTGGTGCTGCTCTCGAGGGCCGGGTCAAGGCCAGGGCGCTCGCGTCTGAGGCGCTGTGAAACCACGACTTTGTTTCGCCGCGGCCTTCCGTTGAAGGACTGCCCTGATGCCACTTCGGCTGGCCGCGGCCGGACCCGGCAGCACTCCGGGCCGGTGTGTCTCGTGGGCTTTGCCCCCGCACAGCCGATGAGAGCACAGGTGCGTGCTCTGAGGTTGGGGTTCTCCCTCTCCCAGCCACGCTGCACGTGGGCGCTGTTGGGATCCCTGCTTAGCCCCTGAAGGGAGCCAGCGGTGACCAACCCCCGAGCAGGCTCAGCGCCGGCGACGCTGCCCGCCGGCCGTCGCTCGTCACGGCTGCTGCCTCGGTGTTTCTGTTTCGTCTGTCTGGAACGGAGGCGCTGAAAGCGTAGACAAGGGCTTTGCGCGGGGTGCGAACCGCCCTCGCCAGCTTGCTCTCGCCTCCCGCAGGCATCCAGGCCTTCTGCAAGGACCTGCTGGAGGTGGCGGACATCCTGGAGAAGGCCACGGAGAGCGTGCCCCGGGAGGAGGTCAGGGACGACAACCCGCACCTCAAGAGCCTGTACGAGGGGCTGGTCATGACGGAGGTCCAGATCCAGAAGGTGTTCACCAAGCACGGCCTGCTCAAGCTGAACCCCGTGGGAGCCAAGTTCGACCCCTATGAGCACGAGGCCCTGTTCCACACGCCAGTGGAGGGCAAGGAGCCGGGCACAGTGGCGCTGGTCAACAAAGTGGGGTACAAGCTGCACGGGCGCACACTGAGGCCGGCCCTGGTGGGGGTGGTGAAGGAAGCGTAGCCGCCTCTGGGGGCGGCAGTCTGTGGCCCGCGCTGTCACTGCAAGGCCGAGTCGTCTCGCCGAGTACTCTGACCTGTCCTGGGCCTGTGGGGCGCTTAGTGACCAGTGGCCCACAAAATTAAGGCGGTTGCTGACGCTCTGATGAACTCCGAATCGGTGTCTGCTGTCGGTCTTTAGTGCCCGTCTGGTGGTCGCACGAGCTTCCGAAGAGACCCGCGGCGC